GTACCAGAGAGAAAATCTTCCTGCAGGTGGCGCTGTTGTCATTACCCACCCGAATTGATTTCCAAATACGTCATCAACGTGTGACCGTGGGAGAGCGTAAGGTCATTGACGTCACTACCCGATCCGTACCGGAAACCCGATCGGTACCCCGCATGCGCAAATCTTACGTCACTTCCTCTCTTTGCCAACATTGCGACATTCAATATATTTGACTGATACGGTTAGCGCCCAGTTAGCTCCTAGCATTTCTCAACAGAAAATTTTTTTTGACAGATGTTTCAAAGCCCTTTTTGATGGAAAGACAGTCACTGCACTTCACATGTTCACCAGGCATATTTATCTTTTTAACTTTTTGATTCATCTAGGAAGAAATTTGAGATACAGTAACACTTTAAGGATTTTTCTGAGCCACCGTAGCAATGACAAAGGGTCGAGTCAACAAGATTTTTCGACCCTTTTGTTATTTTTAATAGTGAAGATAGTGTTCAGCATCTGAACACCCACTGAGCTGTCAGTTTAAAGAAACATTTAAATCACAACCAACACTGATGTTGAAACTCAGGTAAATGAAGGTCGAACATATATTTAATTAATAAAATGATCCAAAAGATCATAAAAAGACACATTTATTCTACTATTCAGTTTTTAATCTTTGGTGACTCGAACCAAGATATTTGGTTGGAATTGAAGGCAAAAGGGTCATTTATTGTTGTTACCATGGACGCATTCTTCTCACATCTTGATTAAAGGAACAGTTCACCCAAAAATCTTTTCCCCCTCTGGCCTGTAGTGCTATTTATCCATCTGGGTTAGAGTTGCCAGGTTTTCCAGATATCCACTGAAGACACATCTGCTTTCTCTTAAATACAGTGGGAGTACATGTGACTCACCTTGTGGTGCTGAAAAACATTTGAAAAACTCAGCAGTAATATCTCTTTTTAGAGATCACTCGTGGTTACTCAAGAAGGGAAACAAATTCCTTGTTTAGGCGTTTTAACGTAGGAACTATTTTATTTTATATCATCTTCACAAAAAAGCTTACAGCTAATCAACATTACAGCTCAGGAAACAAGAATCTCATCAAAGTTTACATCTGTCACAAGTGTGTGCATCTTGTCCCAGGCAACACTGACACACCTGTCAGGTGACTAAAACTCTGCAAATGATCTACGCACATGAATATTCTCTACAAAAGATACAAACATGTTGTATAT